AGCTGAAGGGGGTTTTACATCTAATTTAGATATTCAGTGGGAAAGGGGGGAGTCAGTGGGGTTTGGTTCATATTGGTTTATCAGAGAGAAAAGCGCAAAATCCAAGGGAATTTTTCACCCACCCCCAGTCACTAGATGGGGTGTGGTGGGTCCCCGGTCCTGTCAGTAATGGGGGCAGCAGGGAGCCCAGGACAATGCTGCATTACTGGGTGGGAGTGGGGAGGCTGGCAGTGTAAGCTGTGTGCTTGGACAGCCCCCCGGAGAGATTCAAATGCTGCCCAGCTGATGAGCAGAGTGCCCACAGCTGTCCACCACTGGGAAGCATATTTTTATACTAGTGGTGCACATCTGCATATTCCTCAATGCACATAACAAAATGTATTCCATGCAGAGATGGAAACAATTAGAGGGAGCACTGGCCATAAGGGGGGCAGGACAGGGTATAGATCTCTGCAGGGTGGGTTCTGGGGGCTTGGTTTACACTGCTGAATTTGGGTGACATAAGACAATGTAATTATGTCAGTGCTGATCCTACTGCCAGGGTTGTCCCTTGAAGGAGGACCAGCACGAGGCCTAGGACAACCCTGCCCCCAGTGCAGCGAAGTCTTTTGAGCCAGGTTAAGCACAGACTTTCTTTTCTGTATTCCCACACTAATCACTGACATTGCAATTAGTGTTAACATGATTTATGACCCAACACCAGGCAGGTTGATGACAGGGAGCAAAGCCCCGCTCCATCAGCTGAACAGGTAACATACCAAGCAAAGCAGAAGCAAACTGTATTTATTTCCATGCACGCACTCGGGGTCTCTCCCAGCTCGCTGGAAGGGTCAAAGCCCTTCAGCTCCTGTCTACCTGTATAAAGAGGGGAGCAGCACTGGCTTCTGGGTGTCTGTAACTGCCCTTTCGTTAGGTCACTTGCTGCTTGTCTGGGGGCTTTCCCGGGGCTGTGACTTCTGTGTTGTTGTTTATTTGAATTTCCCTCTGTGAGCGTGGTTGGCTCCGGGTTGTGCAATTCCTTAAAAAAAAAAAAAAAAAAAAAAAGAAGCTTAAAAAGCCATGGCTGCTAGGGATCTGGCCGGGAGCTTCCAGGATGAGGCGACGTGTCCCATCTGCCTGGAGTATTTCACAGACCCGGTGTCTATTGAGTGTGGGCACAACTTCTGCCGGGCCTGCCTCAGCCTGTGCTGGGGGGAGTCGGAGACCAACTTCTCCTGCCCCCAGTGCAGGGAGACCATCCTGCAGAGACACCTGCGGCCCAACCGCCAGCTGGGGAACTTGGTGGAGCTGGTGAAACGCCTGCGGCTCCCGGCGGGCCCAGCGCCCGAGGGGCAGCCAGGGTGCGAGAGGCACCAGGAGGCCCTGAAGCTCTTCTGCCAGGAGGATCAAGCCCCCATCTGTGTGATCTGCAGAGAGTCCCGGGAGCACCGCGCCCACTCGGCAGTGCCCATCGAGGAGGCTGCCCAGGAGTACAAGGTAGGGACCAAGCTCTGCAGGGCGGGTCCTGGGGCTTGGTTCACACTGCGGTGTTAGAGCGACATGGGCAGCTCACATCAACCTAATAATGTCAGTGGTGACTCTACAGGGGGGCATAGGATCTAGGGCACCCCCCGCCCCCCAGCTGCACCCTGCCTCTGCCGCCCCCGTCCCGCCAATCCCAACTCCTGCTCTGCCCCATTGTCCCTTGACATGAGCCAGGTGGCACTGGGTGGGGCAACAGCAGGGGGTCGGCCCCCATTCCTGCTTCCCGCTCTCCCTGTGGTGTGGGATCTGAAGGCCTAGCAGCCTGCTCTGTCCCACCACCCTCTCCCGTCCGGGTCCCCCCTTCTTCATGGTACGGGGAAGTGAAGTAACCGCGGTGATACTGGACACAGCTATCCAGAAGACCGTGGCGCAGCAGAGTTGGAGCAGGGTCGTCCTCAGCATCCCGGCTGGAGCAGCCTCTGTCCCTGGCGGGCCTGGGAGCGCAGAGGCAGGAGCCAGCAGTGAGGTCCCACGTAGTCCGGTTAACTGGCCAAGCGTTAGGTTAACTGGATGTTTGTCTGGTTAGTGGGGATTTTGCAGCCCTCGCACAGCACGGTGCTGCGCTGGGCGAATGAATCTCTGCCCAAGAAGATGAGAACGCCGGGTTTCCACAGCCCAGGAGCGGTTACAATTACAGGTGTCTGCTCCCCCAGACCCAGGGCTCCCTTGTCCCTCCCTTTGCTGTGAGGGAGGCCCCCAGGGGCTGCGGGAGAGGAGAGTGTGGATCTGGTGTCCGGGTCTAGAGTGCGGTGTAGCAATGTTCCCGCCCCAGCTCCTCTGACCCACCGGCTGGAGGGACGTGACACCTGAGCTAACACGCTGGGTGGAGTTGCCCTGAGTGGCTGCGGGAGGCAGAGCCCCTGCTCGGAGCCGGGCATCTCTGCCTCCACGGTGCCTTTGGGGCTGGCAGAGCTGAGCGGTTGCCTCCTTCCAGGCTGGCTCCCTGCGTGGGGGGGGAAGGCTGGGGTTTGGGGCTGGCAAAGCCAAGTGGCTGCCTCCTTCCAGGCCAGGTCCCTGCGTGCGTATGGAAGGCTGCTGTGTACAGCGCTCGTCGCTTGTCAGACAGGCCGATAACAGCTGTTTGTCGCCCATGATGCCCTGCAGGAGAAACTCCAGGGGGCCCTGGGTCCACTGAGGAAGCAGCTGGAGGAGGCCCGGGCGCTGACGTCTAAAGAAAAGGAGAAAATCAGGGAGTGGCAGGTGGGTGTCTGGGTTTCTCTCCCGGAGCCCTTTCCCCGGCAGCGCTCCCAGAAGGCTATGAACCTGCTCTGGCAGATCAAGTCTATCTGGAGTGTATCTGCCCACAATGCCATCAACACCCCACTGCTGCGGGACCCCTTTCCCCTCCCCGAGTGACCAGAGCCAGGGCGGGTCCCAGCCTCTGCTGCCATCGTCTGGCCCCCTCATCCCAGTCACCTGCTCCTGTGACCTTCCCTGACCTTGTCTGTAGCTGGGGCATGAACCCCTGGGACAACACATCCGTTCTGCTTCCCCTGCCTGTTACAGTGAGATCCCCGCTGAGGATGTAGGGGTGTGATGAGGACATTGGCAGATCACTGGGCACATGGCCAGGCTGGGCCAGGGCAAAGCCAGCCCTGGCAGTGCCTTGAGGGTCCAACACCAACGTGAGCCCCAGGACGGCACCCACAGGGCTATTGGCACCAGTCCTGTGTCCTGAACATGACAGCCCTGGGAGCAGGTTGCCAAGAATGAGCATCGCCCACATCTTGCTAGGACAGGTCTCTTGGAGGGAGCGGGAGGGGGGGGGCAGTGAGTGCCCAGCTCTCCCTTCCCCACAGACTGTGCTGTCCCTCCCCCTCCGTACATCTCTCCTGTTCCCTCGATTTCTTCCCACTCCCGTGTCCATCCCATGCCACCTGCAATAACAGACGTCAGCTTTACCTAGCACCCTGGACAGGCCCACTACAGGACTGGCCCTGTTCACTCTGACCTAAAACCAGCCCTTTATGATACAAATAAAAAGGAGTCTGGACTCCTTGTTGTGTTTGCTGAAGCAGACTGCCACAGCTACCTTGCTGAAACCTCCTGGTGTGTTTCCCAAAGAAGTAACTATCCTTACAAACCTCATACCAATCTGATTCTCCCTGCTTCATGGGCAGAGGCCTTGTCTAACTTGGCATCTGGCCTGTGGGTTCCTCTCTCTTTTCCTTTCTCCAGAGGAAAGTGCAGGCAAAGCGGGAGATGATTGCTGCTGAATTTAACAAGCTGCACATGCTGCT